TCTAATCAATTCACCCTTTAAAGCAGCATTTACAACAACTTTATGCATTCCTGAAATCAGATCTTATCCGGTCAAATGCATCGTTAAAATTACAAGACTCATTCTAATCAATTCACCCTTTAAAGCAGCATTTACAACAACTTTATGCATTCCTGAAATCAGATCTTATCCGGTCAAATGCATCGTTAAAATCAGAAGACTCATTCTAATCAATTGCCAGACCTCAACAAATTGAACGAGTATTCCTGATGATGCCCAACAGAATCTACCAGATACAATTTATATAGCATCCCCACCCAATTCAAGTTACCACCTCTATCGAACAATCTACATTCACCACTGTCGCACTTCATCTCACCACCATTCACCACTCTTCTATTCTCTCTAACTCCATCGGCTGATCTGGAATCAATGTCTTTTCCCTATCATCATTGCACTATACCTCTCTCTACCTTCTCCCCCATTAGTATTCAACTTAGGTTCACGATTTCTCACTTTCATTGCCGTATTCTCTTTTATCTCAATTCCTTCACTAGCCGGACAATAATCGCCTACGGAAACGACATCACCCAGGTCTCTAAAAATGATGAAACCACACACCACTGATTTTGCTTCTATGTTATTGTCAATCCCATTCTATAATAAAAAACTGATCTTCATCATCTTTGCTGAAATTAGGGTTATTGTTTTTGTGATTTAGGTGTTTCTAATCTAAGAGTATTTGTTTTTTCGATTACGATTTCCTGGTCTAGGGTTTTTATTCATCAACATGGGTGGGCTTGATCTCTCTCGAAAGTTACAAGGTATGTTTTCTATAAAAACCACCATTTTTGTACTTCCATGTTTTAAATTTATGCAATTTATGGGTACCCTGTTTAACACAGAATTTGTTTTATATATCAGATGATTCCAATTCAATGAAAATCATATATGAAGATGATCATCGTAGCCATTTTTCTAGGGACTGTAGCCATTGGTTTTTTCTTTCTGAATCGAAACCTTTAAGTGGTAGAAGTCACGCTAATAATCTCTACTTATTAAATGTGCAGTTAGATGCGGTTTGAACTCTGATTTTTTATTATCATTTGGGTGGTAGACGTCGCACCAACGGGAGCACAGGTGATGTCTTTTACCCAAAAAAAAATTACACATTAATATCAATCTTTTACATATGTCCAAAAATCA